TGTGCTCATTACCGTGGCTTGGTACTGCTGACGTGATGTATTCTAGTTAGTCTCCGGATAACATTTTGTATCTGGTCTTCACATCCAATAATTTCTTTGAGTTTTACTTAATTGACCTACATGTAAAAAAAAACACACACATAATAAAAAATAGAACTTTACCCGATCAGGCTCAGGTGGGTTGGTGGACGTGCTTGATTGGGAACCCCCCATCCCAAGTTAGAATCCTCTCTCATACGGCACGACTCTTTAAGTTGAGAGAAAAGAATTGAACTGTGGGTCCTGCACCTGTGGGGTTGATTGCTGGTAGACTCGCCGAGGAATTAGTGGACATCGTCAAACACGTCACAAGCGGACATGACAACGGGCTGATATCCATTTCAAAAAAATAATAATAATAGAACTTTTCTGAATAATTATTGTGACTGTATGTGAGCTGTGAGTTGCAGAACAGAACTCCAATCAAGAAAGCTATTCACCATTTTCCAGAACAAAATCCCAAACCCATCACCATCACCACAACCTACATTTTCTTGAAATAACCGATCTATGGCCCTCAGATAACCTCTATTTCTCTTCCACGAATCTTAATGCTCGTCCAAGGGCTATAAATCAACTCCTACGATGCACAAAAGAAGTGAAAAATGCTGATACGTTGCGGAGCTTTATGCGAGAGCAAACATAGTGGCAAAAGGACAGAGCAGCCTGCACAAGGCGATAGGTTCTGTTTCAGAAGTGGGCATCACAGTTATATTTACAAAGCTGCCATTTGTCAGCAAAAGCTTCAGGCTTTAAGACACCCACCCACCCACCGGTAGAGCTCGATCAACAAAAAAGTTGTCAGAGATCTCTCACCTTCCCTTTGCAAGAGAGATTTCTAATATTGCAATGATTTTTTATCATTGATTATAGTCTTTTATTGGTCAAAGCCAAAGGGTCAAAGCCAAAGGGATGCAATAAAATATTATTTTGTCAAAAATAATATGAGTGGATTTTGACTCTTAAACTATGAAGAGATTATAGAGATTAATTTCATTTTTTTTATTGTGAATTTATTTGTGAAATATAATAATATACATTGAAATAAGAATATTTGTTTATGCATTTTTTTTATTTCTTTATATGATATTTATGCGATCATAAGGGGATTTTTGGTAACACCCAGGATTTGATTTAAGTAGGATTTCATAAATATGCTAAATCGTAATTTTTAAAATCTCGAGGGGAATAAATCTTGAAAAACTGTTTGGTAACATTAATGATAAATCCCATTAAATCACGCATGATTGTTTGGCTATAGAGCGGGAACGAGCAAACTCTTCCTCTCAAGCTAATAGATTTCGTAACTCCAACAAAAAACAGGATTTCGAAAATCCAGGATTTAGCACGCAAAGGTGGAATTTTCCATCTACGGCAGCTTTCATTTGCCGTGAGATTTGGTTTTGCATTTTAGGCCGTTTGGCTAGATTTCGCTCAAATTTGACCTAAATCCTGCTACCAAACAACCCCTAAGTCTAAAATCACAACAAGATAATGTTATTATTATTATATACTATAAAAAAATATGATGATAAAAAAATTAATAATTATGTTTTAATTTAATGAAGATCTAGTATAGGAAAAGCTCGAAAGAAAAAAAAATTATGGAGACATGTCTAGCTTGAATAAATTTGCTATTCTTGAATTAAGGTAACAAAGGTTCACACTTCTTCGTAAGTGGAGAATGCTAGAGTTAAATGTAGAAATTTAATTAGATAGTCATTTGAGGTAAGAGTAGAAGGTAATGACATTCAAGAAGGGTGACAAGAAGCACTTATGCACAAGAAATTATTACGTTAGGTCACCTGACGCATCCAGATACCAATAATCACACGCCACGTCATCTGAAACTCAGTATTGAGCACTCGGTATTGCTCGATATACGTCCGGATTTCCGATTTTTTGTTCAGACGTAATAATTACTCCTTATGCACAATGCCAACCAATATCATTCAATTGGATGTTTGACAACTTTAATTGTATTTGTTTGGTCAATTACATATATTGGTTAGAGCATGCATGCTTGATGTCGATGAAGGTTGATGGTGAGTATTCGAAGGTCGTTAACTTCAATATTCTCCTTATTAGAAAGGGGGATGAGGAGAACTGATAGCTAGATGTCCAATATCAGATGTCGATAAGTATCAAATCTCACATTGTACCTAAACACACATATATTGGTTGCCCTTATTTGCCTATTTTTGTCTTAGGAAGGGTATGCTTTTTTATAATGATCAGACAATAAAGGCCAGTTGATGGATGCCTATCATTGCGAGTAAGAAATCAAGTGATAGAGAATGATTGAAACACATCTATTAGTGGATATCGATTGATTTTAGGTTCCATACAAATTTTGTTGGCAAGTATTTGGTGAATCTATGAACAATGGAATGGTTCATTGAAGTTTGGTGGCTCTAAAGCTTATTTAAACCCTAGAAATTTCTACAATTTTTGGATGCTTCCATTGTAATGTAAAAATTTAAGGTGAATTATGACATATTTATAGATTTTCAGATGTATAATTTTTCCTTAACAATAATTATCAAAATAAAGTTTTAACTAGTCAAATATTGACTAGATAGCTTATATTGCAATTTTGGATTAACTTAATTGACAAGCTCAAATCATAGCTGAATTAGGTAGCCAATTATTAGCCTGTGGCGGTGGCTTGATGATGGTGAGCCGGTGAACAACAACATTAAATTCACATAATAGGGGTGTAAACGAGTCGAGTTTTGGCACTATCGACTATCGAGCTTAGCTTGTCAGTGAGAAAGCGAGCTTGAACTCTAGCTTGAGTTGGCTCGCGAGCCTCGACAGTCGTCAGCCAAAATTTTCACCCATGATTTCAATCCCGCGGAACTCCTCCGTTCTCGAGCTGCTTGACGAACTTGCAAGTCGAGCGGTGTGTTGTTCAAATTCGAGCTCGACTCGTTGAGCATGTTAATAATTCGAGCCCAAGCCGGCTCACGAGTCAGCCTGACTCGGTCACACTATGACATATCAGTGATAAGTGATATTGTTTGATTATTATTTTAAAGAAAATTTAAATTATAGGTCATATTCATTATTCATCATAGTAAAATGATATTGGTTGAGTATAACAAGTATAAATTAATGCCTAAAAAAATTTAGCATTTTTAATTAAAATATATTATGCTAATCATAATCATTAAGGGATCATTTAAGTTTTTTTTTTTAATTTTTTTTTTAAATTTTACAGGCGATTGCTAACTAGTTTTTATGCTGCTTTTAGAAATTTTTATGATGAAACACAACCAAATTTATTATAGCGTAATAATTATAAAGCTAAAATACAATATTTTTTATATAAAAAAAAATCTATATTGCTAAAATTATGTTAAAAAAATTTACAAATTTCACCATTATTCAACAGCTAATTTTACAAAATTTGACTGACCCAAAAAATACTTAGCCGAGTATTAAATTTCAGACCAAAATGAATGAATAATAATTTGACAATTACATGATCATATAATTATTAGGTGGTCCAAAGAGCAATAGAGATTGCCCATGCAGTGGTCCTCAATCAGGAATTGCAGTCCTAACAAGCCAGCCATGCAGTGGACGCCAATATCTACGTTAAATAAGATTAATTAATTAACGGTGGATGCTTAACCAAAGTAATTTTACTAAAATGGTTTTAATTAATCCATTTTCATTAATTAAAGCTTAATTATTATCATTCAATTAGGATTATTTAAGGGATTAAGGTTTTATTTGTGACTACTTTCTTACTGCTTCATAAAGTAATTTTTTAATAAAAAAAATTTTAGACTAAAGATTTTTATACTAGAAAGGCGTTTTAGAAAGCAATAAGAAAGCTGTCCAAAACGAATAAGCCTAAATGTGAAATTCTTTGATTATGAAACAAAATTATATTTAAAGGGGCAAATATAATTAAAATATTAATAAGCACTAAGTGAGATTTAGGCTTCCTTTCGGACGACTTTCTTACTGCTTCTTAAAACAACTTTTTAGTACAAAAAATTAAAATTTTATGCTATAAAGCTCCTTTTAGAAGCAATAAGAAAGCCACCCCAAACGAATCCATAGAGTTTATTGGGGAGAACTTAGACTTCGTTTGGGACTGCTTTTTTGTTGCTTATTAAAGCAGCTTTCTAGTACAAAATTTTTAATTATTAAACTAAAAAACTGCTTTAAGAAGCAACAAAAAAGCCCTCCCAAACGAAGCTTTAATTTCTAGCAACTTTGCTTTTAAGATAGCAACCACAATTTCGTTTGGCTACTCTTTTCTTACTATTTTCTCATTATTTTTCTAAATTTTTATTTTTGTGAAAAATCTTTTTCTACAATAATAGTAGCAAAGTTGCTTTTACAATAATTTCACAACCACCTTTATAAATAGTGTAGTCATACCAATCAGACTCTTAGGAACTATTTGGGACAACTTTCTTCTTGCTTTGCTTTTCAAACAATAATAAAAATTTTTATTTTGGCTACTACTTATTTGCTACTTCTAAAAATAACTTATGCTAGAAAGCTACTTTTTATAATAGCTTTTCAAAAAGTTACTTTCCCCAAAAGAAATTTCCAACCACTTTTTTAAAAAACTGCAGTCGTCCCATACAAACACTAAGGCTTCGTTTGGGACGGCTTTCTTAATGCTTCTTAAAGTAGTTTTCTAATGTAAAAAAAATTAATTTTTAAACTAGAAAGCTGCTTTAAAAAGCATGAAGATAGCCGTCACAAACGAGGCTTTAGACATGTGCCCTCCCACATTTTTAATATATACTTATATATAATAATTTTACATTAATATATACACCAAGTATTTAATATTTCTAATAAAATAATTTATTTGCTACTTGTAAGAAAAATTCTTGATTTCATCACTAAATTAAAACAAAAAAAAAACTGCCTTCTTCATATGATGGTTTTAATTAAATTAAGCATCTCAATTACCAAACACTTAATTATAACCAACAAGCAATTAACATTAAGTAAAGTAATTAAGGACAAAGTCACAGTAATTAAACACAAACAAAGCATATATTTCAAGGAGCAAATGTAATTAAGAACACCATAACTACTAATTAATTACTACAATAATAATAGAAATTTATCATAGTAAATAGAGCTCAACAGGACCAGAACTCTGCCTTCTTCACCTTCGAAATGCTCTCCAGGACCCCTACAGGAGAAATATGACCCATCACAGTCACCCTCTTGGTCTCCAGATCTATACTGAAAGAGGTCACCCCTGCAAGCCAATTTTTTTCTCATGAGTCTCATATTAATAAGCTATATATTACACTCATTTCAAAGCATATTCAAAGTTTTTAATAGATCATCAAGACCAATTTTTTTTTTTTTCAAAAAAAATTATGTTTTATTTATAATTTATGATCTATTTGGTACAACTTTCTAGCTAATTTGCTTTTTATACAATAATCATAATTTTATTTGGCTATTATTTTCTTATTGCTTTTAATTTGTACCACTCAAAGAATTTTTTTTTTTAATAACTAGAGTGGTTAAGTTATTTTCCTTATAATAATGTCATAATAAATTTTTAAAAACCCTACAACAGTCCCAAATAGGAGAAATTTTTATGTGCGGAGTTCGGTCGTAGAGTTATGTTTAGATTCCAATCAAATATGAACATGTGACCAATATATATTTGTTATATTACTGTGTATTTACTATGCATTAAATGTATTAAATACACAGTCAAAATACACAACAAATGCACAATTAATATAAAATAATATAAAAAATTATATATTGGCCACGTGTTAGTGTGTATTGGCAATGTGTCCCCGTTTGATTGGAGTCCGGACGTAACTCTACGTCCGGACTCCACACGTAATATTTATTTATTTAAAATATAACTTTATTTCAAAGGGGCTACTATATGCCATCAAAATTATTTATAAATTTTTATATCCTTGATGAATAGTTAGCTTGTTATTAAACTTAATGAAGTTTGATCACTAAGAATAATTATAAATAATACATTTTGAATTAAATTTTACAAGCAATGTTTTATGTAAATTCTTTAAAAGAGAGAGAGAGAGAGAGGGAGGATGAAATTACCTTCCATTTTAGAGATGTGCTTTCTTACTTTTCCTGCACATCCTTGACAATGAATTGACACTCTCATGACCACGACCTACAAGCAGGAAATGCAGCCATCTTCATCAATTGGTTGATAATTTTGATTATGAACTAAGAGGTTTTAAATTTAAAGTTTCATTTATGACGGTTTTTTTAATGTTTTTTAAAGTAATTTTTTAGCTTAAAAATTAAAATTTTTGTAATAGAAAGCTGGTATAAGAAAGCTGTCCATAAGTCTTCGTTTTCGACAACTTTTTTATTGATTTTAAAAGCAATTTTTTAGTACAAAATATTTTAGTTATAGAAATTTTTGTACTAAAAATTTAATTGTTTTTTAAACCAACTTTTTAGTACTAAAATTTTATTTTTGTACTAAAAAGCTGTTTTAAGAAACAGTAAGAAACTCTTCTCAAACTTAGCCTAAGTCTTAAATATGTGATTGTGAATTTATCTTAATAGGCCAAAATGTCTCAAAAAATAATCATGAGATTAATTACTCTATGCTAATTAAGCATTGGATCAATGTGTAATTAGGTAAAAAAAGAAAATTAATTATAAATTAAATACTGAAAAAACTATTGGAGTATATATATATGCCAATGTATTACTCTAGAGGGAAATTAGAAAAAAAAATAAATTAGAGAACCATTGATCACAATTAATGTACAAGTAAACTGTCATAATTTTGAGTTATAATTTTATATTATCTTAAAATGTGATCTAATATTTAAATTTAGCTAATTAGTTTAATATTTAAAGATTTTAAAAATTATAATCAATGCCCTCAGTGCAAATTTCATTTACATTAAGTTTGTAAAAAGAAAAAATGCATTAGGATATTCTGATAGAATATAAATGAGAATGTGATGTGATATTTCTAAGTACAATTAAATTATTAAATAATATAGTTAAATCATAAATTTGATTTTATAATAAAATGTTTTTAAAGAAATACAATTATTAATGATCTAATTAAAACTTTTATCCTAAATATTTTTAATCACATAAGTAATAATCCCCAAAAATGTGA